ATGATAGTTCTAGAAACAAGATAGCGTGAGAATTGTCACGTGATCTCGATGACGCAACATAAAGCTGCTCAGAATGTTACTATTAAGGGGAAACATTAAATTAATAGCATATAATAATTACTTTGATATTCCATTTCACTTCCTTGTTTTCTAACACTTGTTCTTTAACTCCAGTGTGAACTTGTGAGAAGGTTATTCATAATGATGAACACAAGCCTTGTATTATTAAGAGTATTGTAAAGCAATTAGCCAAACATTAGTTCCACCGAAAATTATTGGCAATCCTAAACAAACACATTATAGTTTGCATTCTAACTTAATAATTTAACTTCAATTAACACTTATGTTGAGTGTTTTACAACTTCCTTTTTTTAATAATTGACTCAAATGTTTAAAACCAATAAACATTGATCCCCCCCCCCAAAAAAAAATTCGAAGGCTTATAACGCTAAAATATAGGTTCCGATACTCATGGTGAACCCAGTATAGATAACCCATTGTGTCGCTTTCCGCTTAACACCAAACAAACAAATAACGTTGAGATATATAGATAATTTAATGCCTACTGTGTACACCTTTTTTTTTAGAGTATAAATTCGGTGATGTAATTGTTTACTGCATAAAGTAAAAATACATTTTAAATACTTGAATGTTGTGTATGCAAAGCATGAAATGTAAGTGCAATTGTGTGAAATGTTTATACTTTGTCCTATTCATAGGCTCTTTATTAAATACCAAAACTCGTTAGTTGAACTGATTTCTAATGTTTCACCAGCTTTCGGCGTAACATTTAAATATTATTTATTTGACCGATTCACAACCAGATGGAAGCACTTTCAACACCCATGCTATTATATTTGAAGGCAACATAGTCTACGGCTGGGCGCCATTAATTACATGTCTGAGACCAAAAGGTTTGTAGTTTCAGAATAAGAGTTTTTTGTTGAACCCAAAAACCCATTTCTTAGTTGAGGCGGGTGTTGCGTGTGTTGAAAAAATGTCAAATTTTGTTTGTTTGAACCATATTTTCAACAAATATGTAAAAATTCATTTTTATTTCATAGGTTCATTACACATGCAGCTACCCAGGAATGTTGGATACTAAAATATTTAAATATATTAACCTGATGAAACTATACACATAAAATAACTTGCAATCTGGTTACAATGATTACGGGAGCACATTTGATACAAATAGGGGGATATGTTTCAACCGAACTATGTACTATATATATATATATATATATATTTACACAGCGTGGTCACAAGTAAATAGACACCACCTTTTCAGAAAAAAAATTAATTT